GTGTCAGAGTCCGTGATCCGTCGCAGGTTTCGCGCGATTCGCGCGAATCGCAAAAATCGCAAGTGCCCCATTTGAACATTTGAAACACTGAATATGAAACAAGTGAATCATGAACAGTCGTCATTCAGCCATCACCATCAAGCAGAAATGGCGGCGGGATTGGAGAGCACCTTGCAGTATTGATCGGGCACTTGTGATTTCTGTGATCCGTCGCGCGAATCGCGCGACGGATCGCGGACTCTGACACCAGCCTTAGTTTACCGTACCAACGCCAGCGTATTTTAGAACTTATTCAAGTGCAAGTTTAGAAATCAGAAGGTGAAGCTAGGAAAGTCTAGAATTCAATGTGTCAATGTGTCTTTGCTTCTGGCGTTAGTGTACTTAGGGAGGGACATCGTTTTTAGAAAATGAGAATTGCTTTCAACACCTCCTTCTCCTCCCTCTCCTAGTTTCCCTCTTATCCTTGGGAGCCCAGAAGTGCGAATGATGGGCGTACTTGGGCTCACCGCATAAGGATGGACCCTCCTTCCTTCCTAAGTTAACCGGCGCCCTACCTTTTTCCGTCCAAGGGCAGCGGTCAACCGGGAAGCTTGGTGATTCAGCGTTTTGTAGTGTTCTCTGGGCACTCTCGCATATGCACACTATTACAGCATCTCTGCTTTCTTTCCTTCCTTCAAAAGGCTTAGTCCTAGAAGAGCACAAATATGTGCTTTTCTGTCTGGACTCACACGCTTTGGTTGACCGCTGCCCCGTAACCACCTTTTCATCACCATAGAAGTACAGAGTTAGTAATACTAGCTGGTACACAAATGTGTTGTCCCGCAGTCATGTATCATATGAATACCGCTGGAAGTTGAGAAGTCAAGAAAGGCAAAAGGCCTGTGTTATAGTAAGGTTCACGTCAAAGTAAGCAACTAAGAAAGCGGTAGAGAACCTTAAAAATGTCTTCAACGACCATGAATGGTCGGTTCGATCCCAGCATCTCCTCATTTCCCGTCAAACTTGCGCATTGGTGGCAACAAATGTCATACTGCTGTTGCATCCCCGCTCGTGACTTGCTTTTTTTTGTTAGAAGTGCTACTTAAAATAATGGCAAGAAGGACTTGGATGTGCTATAGTACATTGCATTATTTGGCAACTTCTGATCAATTCTTGTCAGCTATGTTTTGAGTAGGGTTGATTTTTTTTTCAGGAAGAATACCAATCAATTATAAAGTTCGTTCAAAACAACAAAGAAACTGACTCGGATTGGTTTCGCCTCGAGTCGAATGCAGATGGGACGAAATGGTTTGGAAAATGCTGGCATTACCACAACATGATCAAGTAATCTATCTTTTCTATTTTAATATTTTATTTTATTGTGCTTGTTTTCTTCTGTGCCAACAGGTTGTTACGGTGGAACACGTTTATTGGTCAACGTTTCGACAAATCGTCGTCTTCAGGACCTGAAACTGGTTCGAAGTCCTAGCTCTGTAGCTCACCCGGTAAAGCGCCTAATCTTGCTGAGTTCTAACGCAAAATAATACAAAATAGACGATACCAGCGAACGAACTAACCTGTTGTGGATCCACCAGTTTCTAGCAGCCTCCTCGTGTCAGTGAGCGAATAAAATGAGACACTATTGGACAGTCAGCGTCCTACGTGTCGTATGTGGTGATCTTATAGTCCACATAAAGGAATGAAAGGCAAGAATTCATTGGTAATGGCCATGCATTCATTCCGGTTGTTCAGTCTCGGATTTTTAACGCGGATATATAGCGCCTCTAACATTTTTCTAGCACCGATGTCGCTTTCATGAGCTAGAATTTTGCATTTTATTTCAAAATCACTACCCTGATGTTCTTCTGCTCGGTGCTTGCCAAGAGGAGTAAGAAGATTTCCGCGCCTTTTTCCCAGCCATATGTTCTTTAACACGTACGCCCAACATCCTGCCCGTCTCTCCAATATAAAGTTCGTCACAGGTTGAACATTGAAGTTGGTATACTATCCCTCGTTGCGCACAGTCTCCTTGCCTTCCATATGGGCAAACAACGCAGTGATCCGTGGTGCACGCGCGGTCATAGAGTCTATTGCGGATTAGCTGACGTTAAGATTGTCTCCTGGTATATTAATCAAAACGACTTCATCAGCTAGATCCGCCCGTGCAATGCACTGCCGTATAGCCATGCTAATTCTATCCGATATGAAAGGCAACTGGAGGTGCGCCATCTCTTCGCGACTCCTCGCGGAACGCCCTCGTGACTCCTCGCGACTTCTCGCGGAACGCCCTCGTGAACCTTCGCGATTTCTCGCGGGATTTCTCTGTGAGCCTGATTCTTCGTTCCTCGTTCCATAGCCATTCGCTCTTGCAATCTCGGAAGCTAGCCTACGTGACTCATCTCGCTCCACGTCGCCTGTACAGACTCCAATCGCTGTTCTGTACATGTTTCGAACAACCGCACCTTTTACAGCTTTGGGGTGTGCAGACTTCGCATGGAGTAGGATGTTCTTTGAGCTGCTTTTCCGGTACCACTTCACACTATACGTACCATTCGAGATTTTTATCTGTGTGTTCAAGTAAGGTAGCCAACCATTGTGTGGAGCTTCTCTTGTGAACTTTATGTACTGTGATTGTTGATTGAGGATGCTGAATAATTCATCCATTTCAAATTGTGTTGAAGTAATTACGCAGCAATCATCAATATATCGACAATACATAATAGGCATGCGCGCTATCACCGGTTGTTCTATTCTACCCATAAAGCAGATAGCTAGAACAGAAGAAAACAGCACAATATTCAAAATGCCCAGGTTCCAGGAAAACCGTACATGGACTTTTATTTTTTTATTTTTTTAATTTTTTACACACCCACTTTAGGTGGCTACTCAGCAGCCATTGAGGGCTAGGGGTCAAGTTGAGCTCACATAATGTCAAAATTTCTTTTGAATTAGCAGACCGAAGTGCCATGTTGCGGTAGATTATCCAATCCTTGACAAAATAAGCGGCAACGGTGAACTGTGCAAATTTTTAACGAAATTTGATCAAGAGACGTTTCACTTGCTTGCACGTTATACTTTCTTTAGCCCTTAATCATCGCCTTGCTTTCTTCAATCGCATGAAACTTGCCTATGTGCTGTTTGATTATTCTGCTTTGATCTATATCTTTTAGACATGTATTCGTTCTGATTCAATCAACATTGTTAACTTCTAAATATTTTGAAAGTAGCAGAGCTATCGGAGCTTTATCGACCAGAGAATTAGGGACCTGGATTCGCAGATATTCCTTTTCGCGGAAAAGTGGCCCACTGAACATTTCTGCAGGTCATCAACCCCTCCTTACCTTATTTTTCGAGTGTGGTTTGATAGGAGAGAAGGCGATCGTTCCGCTTTCTCAGCGCGAAATTTATATTGCTGCGAGAACCCTAGGTCCACTCCTGTCTTCATGAGTCTTAGGTGTGATTTCATTATACAACCTAAGTTCCGAATTTCTTTCGGATTTTTAAACTCCTTCTCATGAGTCTATAATATTTTCAATTATTACTTTTTCAGGTACGAGTTTGATGTAGAATTTGACATTCCGATTACTTATCCGGTAACAGCACCTGAGATAGCATTGCCCGAACTTGATGGAAAGACTGCAAAGGTAGGCTCATTCCTGGAAAAGTGACCTTTAAATAGTAATATTTGATTCATATCATTTGAATATTGGTTTCATCATCATTTTTTCGTTTTCATGTGTGTGACCAATTATTTATTTGTCCTGTGAAAGTAATAAGATAAGTACTGAAGAACGAGTGGGAACCATCCTCGGAGCGCGAATGGTAGACTAACCATAAGAACAACAATTTTTGTAAAATTCGGCCATATCGCAGGAGCAGATTTCTTTTGTTTTAAACCATGGAGCCCACACAACCCATATCCAAGCTGCACTTTGTTAACCGTTTGGGACTTCACAAATATTTTGGAAACAAGTTTGATGTTTTTCTGTTTTTTCTTTCCAATTCATGATTTCTTCTGATTCATTCAATGGGTTTTGGTTCCAATTTGCTTGCTGGAATTCTTAAAAATCCATTCCATTTGAAGTTCCACAAGTTCCAAGCGGTCGCAAAACGTAGAACTTGCGCGGTCTCAACATGGTAAAGTCGACAATTTTGAAATACTGAGCAGCAATCGCAATGACAGATCATTCTCGGATGCTAAACACTGCTCAATGTGTATAGCAAATTGGCCGATGTGAAGAGCAGCATTTCTGAGATTTCATTATGCGATTGTTGCGTCCATGGTTCTTTAACTGTAGCGAATGCAATAGCTACAGAAAACGAAAAGAAAACGTTGCAGCTGTTGACTCGGTGTTGACAAATTTATTGCGACGGCCTGCTAATCTAGCGGTGCATTAATTTATAATGGATCGTTATGCAAATTCTTCCTGCTGACTAACGCTTTAGTGTGCGGGGGGTCAGCAATGCCGCCGAAGGTTGGGATGTAATACTAAGCTCGTATAGTATGATACGCTTATGGGATAAATAGTGTAATGTTTTTTTGCACGATATTCTTCGGTTGAGCTTTCGAAGAAAGGGAGCTTTAGCTGGACCATGGGTACTTCTTGCTGAGCGGAGTAGAAGTACCATGATCCAGCTGAAGCTCCCTTTCTTCGAATAGAAAGCATGAGCATAAAGGAGGAGGGAAGAGCAAAATGAAAATGCTTGCAACATACAGGGGGGGCCAAAAAAAAGACATTTTGCCTATGTCGGACTTCGGCTCTTTTTTCTTCGCAGAGATTGCTGTCGTTGACGGGAGTTCCTCAGCAGAGTATTCCCTAAGTGTCCCTCTATAAGTGAACGCAGGCCCTCCTTCACTGCCCTCACCGTCTTCAGAATATGACGTCATCTGTCACCGTCGTCAGGCTCAAGGAGGTCTACCGTAAGTGCTTCAGCCTGAAGCTCTTACGCAATTTCGTGAATCGATTTAATGTTGGATAGTTTTCTAGAGGCATTAGCTCCCACTATGCAAATCCCCTCGGAAACTAGCTTTCCAGTAAAGGTCGTTATGGTACAGAATCCTTCGAAGACCCCATTGAGCTCGACCAGTGCACCATGTTTCCAGGGCAAATTCTTCTGTTGCCGTCCACGTGGGTGGCCAACATGAAGATTTTCTTATAGAATGAAATGTGCTCTTCAATATAAGTTGGGAACACTCGGTCTCAATTGAGCAAAGTGTGCTTAAATCCATCTGAAAGTGGAGACAAAATGTCTTTTTTTATTGCCCCCCCCCCTGTATATTTCCTGCGAAGTATTTCTTCATTTTATCAGTATCTTTCCTTTCATGTTTTTTTGTTATAGTTCAAAAGATGAGGTCACAAGGTTGTTTTCAGATGTACAGAGGAGGGAAGATTTGCCTATCAGATCACTTCAAGCCATTGTGGGCGAGGAATGTGCCCAAGTTTGGAATTGCGCATGCATTTTCTTTGGGATTGGGCCCTTGGTTGGCGGTGGAGATACCCGATTTGGTTGAGAAAGGGGCAATCACGGCCAATTCTTGAAGGTTGGTTGGTTTTTTTTTGAGAATATCCGTTTTAATATTGTTTTGTTTCTTCTTCACCACTAATTCGCAAATTTTTCATTGTTCATTTTCCACATTTTTACCCGTTCAAATTCCTCTTCTGTTATCCATCATACGGCTATATTTCCTCGTTACTGCTTACCTCTGACGGACTCACCTTTTCTCCACTAAGCTCGCCCTTCCTGAGCTTTATACATGATTGCACGGCTCTTTTACAGCGTCTCCAAAATCGTATCATATCCTCCTCCCCCTCCCCAAAGCTAGGGGAACAAAGAATCTCTTTAAATTTTTACTGTTTTCCCCCACAAAATCGCCGTGAGAATTAATTCGTAACGTATGTGTGTGTGCAAAAGTAAACATAAGCGGAAAGTAAGGGAATTGTGTTTTTGAAAGCAAATAAAATGAATCATTCTCTTGTTCCCCTAGCCCGAGGGAAGGATAGGGTACGCTCCGGAGTTTTATCTCGCTATTATTTGGATATCTTTGACGTGCTCGTGATGCTGTGTTCTACATATAGGTGGTATTTTTCACACATATAACACAGTTGCCACTTCATGGCCAACTGTTTGAGTTCCCATTCTGACGTCCGCCTTTTTCAGCTGTCCTCGTTGTGGTCCATCAGAATCGGTTTCCACCGTCTCGGCAAGGCACGATGGGAGTGTTGAATACTAATGCGTGTATCATATGTCACCGTTGTGCTGTTACAGCCAGGCGATTTCATCATCAATAGCCATTTCTCACCAGTTTTCTTCGACAAATGAAAAGATTTCTATGAATATGTATGTTGGGCTTTTCATTCTTGTTCTTGTTTCCTTGTTGAACACCTTCTATTTATTGATGCTTTGGGATATATATTGAAATTTTCTTTTTTGTCTGTGATATGGCTGCATTTTAAAATATACAGAAGTAGTGTTGTCTATGATTCGAAAGTTTTTTTCACTATAAAAAAGGTTAATTAGATAGCATCCTCAGCGTAAGGAAGTGGATGACTATTAGATGTTGTCCATGCCATAAGCATGTATCTTTACGTCGAAATCGTATAATATTAATCCGCGATACGATTACGGTAACCGCATTTCGAAATCATTTATTTCTTTTAATACTTTGGTATTATTTTGTCCCTGAGTCACTCGCCGATCTTTATGTATAACAACAATGTGAGACTTCGAAATATTCATTACGGAAGGCTCAAATGCATTCTACAAAAGATTTGCAAAAATAAGCCTTTCTGGCGTGCTCTCGGCTCTTAGCGCCTTTGTCAAGCCTGTAATTGATTAATATTAGGTTGTCGCATAAGTCGTTGTTATGTTTTATGTTGTTATGTCCCGTTGTTTCACTTTTTTGCACCTCATACCAGAACTTGATTTGGCGATTTCTAAATATGACCAAGTAGGCACCGAAAAGCTCACTTCGTGGAGTAACCCATACCCGAACCATGCCCGCCTTAGCTACTTTCTTCGAACAAATCCTCGCCCGGGAAGGCAATCGGTGTCTGATCTGAACCTGCTGTGCTCTCCCAGGGCAACCCGCATGAGCTATTTTGTTGGGTGACCGCCACACTCAGATATTTCAGGTACACGTTTGATATAGGTCTTCAGTCCTTTGAAAACAACGAAACGGCGCTACTCGTGATGAGAAGTGGTTGCTCTATGCTAATGATGTGCGGAAGCATCAGTGACTAGATCGATCAAAAGAGGCTGAAAAACTGTCGAATACAGCAAAAGGTGTCGACCCGTATGGGAAGCAAATCTCGAATCAGCCACTGGGAATTTCTCCCCAGCTTCGGCCTTGTAACAGCCCAGGTCTCCTTTGATCAACGCCTGAAGATGATTAGAAACCTCCAAGTATGATGCCCAAAATTCAATAAGGTATGTCCGCCCCACGTTTTGAAAATGGCACGGCTCAGAATTTCGAAGCTTCGTTGAGAAGTGCTGTCAGACCCAACGTGGGGCGGTGATCAGTTTCCTTTCAAAGGCCAACTACTTTTGTTAAGGGAATCACCTTACGGACAAATTCCCTAAAAAAGGAGCCTGAATTCGACCTCACTGCCTTTTCCCAGTTTGAAACTGCCGGCCTTTCGGAAAGCACGGCACCGACACTCTGGTGGATCGTTGGCAACAAGTCACTGATAGTGATGGTCCATATATTGATGACGGATATTGCTTTTTGTTGAGATAATGTTAACTCAAAAAATGTTCGAATGTGGCACGAACTTTTGGGACAACCTAATATTAATATTTCAATACCCTTGAATGTGAGCAGTCACATGAGCATTACCACGTAGGAAAAGCAGTGAAACGATGAAAAGGGCTACACGAATCGTTTATATTGGTACCTTTTCTGGGGAGCTTCAGATCCACGGCAACCATCTGTTCCCACCAATCCAACAGGGGTCGTGAATGGAGTTGAGCATTGTTATTCCTATCATGAGAACGTGCAAACGGTTATCGTATTTGTGGATTGCGGAAAAAGGGTGGGGGCATCGACTTTTTTTGAAATTTTGGCAAAAAATTCCAAAAATGTATGTAATATAGGGAGAATTAGAGGATTTGCTGGTTATTAGGCATGTATTTGTATCCCCCTTTCTCCCCCCCCCCCCGGCTTCACGGCCATTTCAGAGGAAAAAGTGGCCAGAGATGGGCTTTGTCGAGTGGTCTCACAAGGGAAGGATACCAGGTCGAAGTGGCCATTTGTAACGAGACATACACCACTAGATGTGTTTTTTGGACGCTGATCTCGAATCTGCTCTCCAAATCTGCGAAACGATTCTCTGAACGTAGTTATGAAGCGAGATAGTGCAGTGGCAGCGGCAAGAGGTCGTGAGATCGATTCGGCGAGTTCTCACTTTTGCTTTTCTTGAAAACATTGTTTAAGGAACTTTTATCCATGCTAAGTCATCAGCGATTGCCTATCATACAAGTGGAAAGAGCTGGCGAAGTGCTTCGAACACTGTGCGCGTCATTTGCAAGTGACCGTCTCTGGCACCCGTAGCGCATGCGTCATGCACTTTCTTGCCAAATAGATGTGATTTCGTGTTCAGCGCATCAAAGTACCCCTTCCGACAACAACTTTGGATCCAAATCCAAAGTTTGCCTAAAAGTCGAACAATATGACGAACCAAGTGACCCGAAAAAAAAAAACAGGAACACGGCAAATGTATCGCGGCACAAGTAATTCCGCAAGCTCTTTGCCAGCTCTTCCCATTTATAGCACAGGCAGTCGCTGATTATTTAGTATGCATAGAAGTCTTTTGAACAGTGTTTTCAGAAAAGCAGCTGAAAACTCGCCAAGAAGTTCGATCTCACGACCTCTTGTTCGTCGGCGGGGCCGCTGCCACTGCACTATCTCGCTTCATAACTACGTTCAGAGAATCGTTTCCGCAGATTTGGAGAGCAGATTCGAGATCAGCGTCCAAAAACACATCTAGTGGTGTATGTCTCGTTACAAATGGCCACTTCGACCTGGTATCCTTCCCTTGTCAGAAAAAAAAAAACGCTATTAGAAGAACAGCACAACGGCCGGTGTACGGTGGTGGGAGGGGTAAAATCTCTGGAAAAGTGCGAACGATGGTTAACGCTATTCAGACCACTTCGTTTCTTTTGGTCCCCTTCAGAGGGCCCCTGCGATGCGTCGTGCGTGTTTTTGGTATGAAATGTGAAGAACTCTCTAATCTAAGCCACGGAAAGTCGGAGTTGCATGTACTTATGTCATTTTCGATGTTTCCAACTATCTGCACCAGGCTGCCATGTTCACCAAAAGAGGTCCGCACGATTGTAAATGTGCACTGTGTCCAGCAGCGGCCAGGTTGAGCTACGATAATAGGGCGTGCTGGGGAGCTGGACATTGGGAAACAAAAAGTGTCGATAAAGGGCGTAAGGCGAAAGCGAATAAGCATTGAAAAGTGGAGTGCAATAGCTGGGCTTGATGGCGCCAGCGGTTGCGTCGCCGGGAACTGTAGATGTTTTTGGCACGTGCTAGCCCTGTCTATCTCCTCTCTGCGTACTATCCTACTTCTTTCTGGTTGTTCAGTTGTCTAGTAATAGTGTCATGCATGACGACAAGGTTCCCTGTTGCTGGGTGTGACCGTTCTCAACGAGAAGAGGAATTCGATGACGGCAACTGCGGGAGGGTCCATGTTCAGTGGATTAAACCGATACGTCAGAACTCAGATGTCTGAAAGAAGTGAAACTCGTTATTTCGTCATAATTTGATTAGTCAGGTAGACCAGGTGGTGCCAGTTGACTGTAACTGATGCATAGGGGTGTTTCCTGAAGGAACATGAAAAAAAAAAGAAAATATTGGATGAAATTTAATACAAGGGAAACGAGTAACCAAGGAGACAAAGGACAGGGAGGGATCGTGAGGTGTCAATCCAGCCCAGAGCAGTAACGCCATAACTTCAATATCCCCAGCCTCGAGGCACTCTGTGGCTGAGGTCCCGTTTTATTGAAATTCATCTCTGGTAGGTTGAAATTTCAATTGCCCGCAAGCGTTAATCTGCAAGGTCCTGCTTGTTTGGATATCGTCAGTAGTAGTTACTGTGACAGTTGGTTCGAAAACCCCCTAGCTGGTACAACCTAGGGGGAAGATGTGCTTCTAAAAAATTTTGAAAGGCCAAGTTTCATTTCGTGATTTATCGCTCCTTTATTCTGCTCTGCTCGCTGGAAAAGCGAAAGAATTTGCTGTGCTGGTCAACTCTGGAGTTTCATTCGTGGTCAGGGCCAACCGTAGTTGGAGAAATTTTGAACTCTATACGACCCCAATTTAAAGGGGTTCACGACGCGGCTTCTCTCCCACAGTCGTTGATGTCCCTAATGGCCCTGAACCGGTTTCATCTTCGCACAATTTGCCCCTAGGACTTCAAAAGTGCTCCGAAAGGGGGAAGGGAGTTTACATGTAATGGGTAAAACGGTAACATTTTCGTAATTTCTTTATCTTGTTTCTTCGAAAACGCTGCCTATTTCCTCCAAATGTGACCCCTCTTGTTGGGAAAATTCTAACTTAGGCTATCCCTGCTTCCTGCTCGATGGGATACACCACTTTGAGCATAATTCCCTAATTATTCACTGCAGCTACGACGTTCCTCTGATGTGTGATTTCTGCCAACAAAAAATTCGTCCTTAGATAGGCATCTATTGGGAAACCTCCCCTTCAAAAAGCGAGAAAGTGTCGGGTGCAGACCAAACACCACAACTGACGACGGCCTCCAAGTAAATCTGGTTAGAAGTTGTTCATAGTGATAGCTGATTTCTGGTAAATGATAGTTGTAATTAGTGACAATCGATAGAATACAACTGCAACAGGCTAATCATTTCATTGGCAGAAAACATTAACATTTTGTGAAGGCCGTCGTCACTTGTGGTGCATGGTCTGCACCCGACACTTTCTCGCTTTTTGAAGGTCTCAGGACATCTGTCAACCGTGAGCCTTGGCGGTTCAGCGTTTTGTAGTGATGTCTGGGAGCTCTCACAAGTGCACACTATCACAGCATCTCCTCTTTCTTTATCTTCTTCAAAAGGCTTAGTCCCAATAAGACACAAAGTGTGTGCTTTTCCAGCTACGCTCTCACCCTTTGGTTGACAGAAGCCTTGTAACCCTTTTTTGAAGGGGAGGGTATGTGTCATGCGTCGGATACCCCGCATGTGCAATCCTTGGGCTGGTTTAGTCGTCCG